CAATACTGTTTCAGTCTTTTATTAAAATAAAATGTGACCAAAATCACTACTATATGATCAGAATTAGAATTACGGTATAATTAGTCTGTAATAAATTGAAATTACTGTGTAATTAGACTGTAATAAACTAAAAGTATATTGAAGTTTAGCGTAATTAATCTGTAATCAATGTAATATTAAAGTTATGAAGTAAAATTATGCAATAATAAATATTTTATATAAAAGGCAAAATAATAAAGAACGTAAATCTTTTTGCCTAGCGAAAACTGAAGAACACAAGTTATATTTTCTACTGCAACTCACCTTTGATTAGACTACGAGAAGATAGTTTATCACCTGATAATAAATATACAATTAATTTTATACAAAATGACTTCTCATCTTTTCCATATAGATAGTAATAGCAATGTTTAACTATCATTTAGGCGAGCAGTAGAACATTACATGTATTCGCTTCCTATATCACAAAATATCTGTTATAAAGTCCAAAGCCAAAACCGAGTAAATGAAGCGATAAAACAAGGACTTGTGATAGTTGAGCGCGTAGAAGATTCTGTTGACTATCTTGGATAGAAGACTAAAAAAGGTGAAAGTAAATCAACAAACCACCTTGATGATTTTTTATGACTTACTGAAAATAGAAAATATCGAGTCCAACAAATATATGCAGAAAATGAAAGTGATATTAATGTTTGGCGATGGACCTGGTTTTGTTCTGGTGAAGGCTGCTGCCAAAGATTGTGTAGTGGGATCGGCAAATGCATAGAAACATGTAATTACTATTCAGATCAACATAACCTCAAGAATCCTTTTGATATGCACAAATATAGTGTACGAATTCTTACAGAGGTTATGCTTTCTGAGGTTGAAATGGAATTTTCTATATGCATGTCTATTAAAGGTAATCATATTCCACCAAATATTATTCGAAAAACAACTGCATTATCTCAAATTAATTTAAGTAGAGAAGCACGTGATCTTGCAATTACAAACCATCGAGCAGATAAGCAAACAACAAAAGAAATAAAAATAAAACTCCTCACACCATATAATGGTAATTCACAAAATGAACTTGAACGTTTGTATAGTGGTCAAAATTCGATATGTGATGACGTGAAGCTTCATTAACTTATTGAAAGAGACAGTTTA